CAAAAACATTATTGGAAATGAGGCCCATTAGGAAGGACCTAGTCATTTTACCATGTTTCTTGCTCAATTGGTGTTCATTGATAAGTCAGGTTTTAACTTATTTCAGAATCACATTTTGGATACGAGATAGCAGAGATCTGCCAATCCAGATGTGAGCTATATAAAAGCTATTCCTGCAGGACTAATCTTAGGGCTTCCTCTAAGCCTAACAGTCACACACAGGTCATCAGGACTGAAGCTCCCCCTTCTAAGTGATGATCTTCCTACAATGAACACAAGTTATTTTCAAGGGGCCTAAACTCAGGGAAGAAGGGACGGTAATATAAAAGTCATAATAGCTGATTAATGCTGTTCTCTAGATTTTTGTGGAAGTGATGGATTCCAGTTCTGCTAACATTTAACTGGATAGTCATGAACCAAGTTTGTTTTCTCACTAACTTGAAAAAGGGGTTCCATGTGCTCTTTTCTAAGACTCTAGATATCATAACCCATGTTATATGTAAGCAACATAAGAGCAACAGCTGAGTACAGGCTGGAAATTCAGAGTGGGTCATTTTTTTCTATTTTCATAATTTGTAATTTTATCATAGAATGTAATAAAACATTCCCAGGAAAAGTATCACTGATTAAGGGCAATTTATATCCCCCAGTACACTGCTACTCCTAAGCATCTGTGAGGTCTTAGAATTAAGAAAAAGATTTTCTTGAACACCAAGTCACTTAAATCCTTGGGAGATGGGCACTTATTACACTGCACAAGGGCTACACAAAATGGTCTCTCTCCATTTTTGTGTTCTTAAAAAAATTAAGAAATACAATCCCTTATTTGGATGGTACTTTACAATTTACAAGTTTTCACACACACCGTTCACTTATACTGTATCTCCTATAATCTTCAGAGGAAGTGAACATTTTCCTCACTTAACACATGAGAATACTGACCCTTGTCCCAGGTGACATTACTGGTAATGGTGGTATCAGAAATAGAATTTGGGTCTTTTGAGCCCAGTGTTCTTTTTCTCACATACCAGCCACACTTCAGCATTAGAGATTTTGTTCCAAAGCATTTCTATTACTTTGTCCAGAAAAAAACTTTAAAAACCTAGTACAAAAATTCACAAAAGATAAAATTACTTGCCATCAAAGCCTTACTGGTGGTACACCTGATTTCTGAAGTCCCCAGAGGCAGGTCCTGCATGTTCAGCACCACGTAGGTGGGTTCTACACCATACACAATCACTGCCCCACAGCTTTCTGACCAAATCAAGTACATTAAAAGACAGGCATGATAACACATTACCAGAGACCTGAATAAATGACCTCACAAAGTGAAACAGACCTTTCTGAAAGCCTACCTGAGTACAAGCTGTTCCATCCTCTGACTGGGAACTGGTAATGGAATATTAAGAAGCCAAAACGGAGATTCCTGCTATGAAACTAACAACACAAAATACTGTAATTTTAGAAAAGTTTGTAAAAGATGGCTGATTGGCTATGTTGAAACTATCAGTGGTTAGAAACTATATATTGAAATCTTAAAAATCTAAAATCCATTTGAACTTTAAGAAGTTGGGGAATTGCAAACACGAATGGGCAGAATGAATCCGTACACCTAGAGTCCAACAAAAATATCCAGGAACATTGGCCTATTGAGAAAAGCATTGCAACGTGATGACTATTCAAAGTCTTCCAGTTGGCATTCTGAGTTAGGACTGTAGCATCTTTTTTTTTTTTCTTTAAATGTGCTTGTTTTATATGAAAAGGATTTTAAAAACACAACATACTAAGTATAAGCAAATTAGAACCTTTTGGGGGCGGTTAAGATTAAAGAGATCGATTAATGTTCTTAATTATAATCCCTGAATTCAAAACATTTACTGAACATAGGTGTTCTTTTATTCTTGTCTTTGAGGCAACTTTCTAATTCTTTGGTAGCACTAGAAGCTCCCAGAATCTGTTAACCAGATCTTTAAGTAAATAATTTCCCAGCACTTTTTAATGAGTCAAAAAGAACCCCAAGTCTTTTTCCCAAACCTGTAAGACATTATTGCAAACCTATAAGACATTATTATCAATCAGCAAGATGATAGCAGGAAAGCAAGAACTCCGGTCTTGTTCTGTGTAGACTGGGGATAAAAGAAATCAAATGGGAATCTCATCACTAAATTATCAAATGAGGCAAAGCCAATGGTTTTTTACCCTAGACTTATGCCCAAGGTTCAGGCATGGCGCTAATGACACTACGACCTTGGATGCTGTGTCATGTTTGAAACAACTCAGTTCTCACAACCACCGAGCAGCTAGAGCTAACAGGAGACGCATCCTCTCCAATATATTGTAGAGCTTTCCCTATTTAGAAAACACCGCAGTACCAATGTTGAAACATCAGGACTATGGAAAAGATTTAAAAACGCATTGTCCAATAGAATGGGAAGATGAAAAATCACGGGCTTCATATCAGATTTTCTTTCACTCATTCAACCTCATTCCTTTCCATATGGTTCAAGTTTATTTAGTCTGTTTATTCAGTACTAGTACAAAACAGAATGAATCAACATTCTTACAATATTGTAAGACTAGGATCACTCCTAATACTACTTTCCTTTAGTTCCTTCCCCCCTAATTTTAAGTCATCCATTCCTTCAAGATGCAGTATGTCAGCATTACTGAAACAATATATTGTATCTAGAGATTTTCTAAACTTTGTAGGGAATTGATCTATAAGCACAAAGATAGACTCTACCAATGAGTTTTTGTGGAGTTTTTTTGGTTGTTTTGGGGGGTGTTTTTTTTTTTGCTTTAATTATACCAAAAATTGTTTCTAAAGGGCACCTGGGTGACTCAGTGGGTTGGGCCTTTGCCTCAGGCTCAGGTCACTATCTGGGGGTCATGGGATTAAGCCCCGCATTGGGCTCTCTGCTTGGTGGGGAGCCTGCTTCCCCCCTCCTCTCTCTGCCTGCCTCTCTGCCTACTTGTGATCTCTGTCAAATAAATAAAATCTTAAAAAAAAATTATTTCTGAGACTTAGTGTAAGCTAATTAGGTATTTGAAAATTGAGTATTCTTCCTCAACACAAATAAGAATAACCAATAATCTTTCTCATTTAAAAGATAGTAACATCATCCTTTATTGTTATAAAACAATATATAAAGTAAGTTAGCCTGAAAGCTATGGCTTGTTCTCACTCAGCAAAAAAAGTGTAACTGGTAACAAATAAGGTGTAATTTCCGTAACTGGGTATTTTTGAAAAATTTAAAGCTTTCATTCATAGAAGAGTAAAAAGCTGTTGCTACACTTTTCTAGTCAGCTTGACTTGTCAGAAAATTTAACATCAATATTGACAGTCTTAGTTCTTCCTTTTTGCCCTATCATATACTCAAACTTAAAAGGCAGTTACTTGGGCACCTAGGTGGCTCAGTCAGTTAAGCATCTGCCTTTGGCTCAGGTCATGATCCCAGGGTTCTGGGATTGAGCTCTGAGTCGGGCTCCCTGCTCAGCGGGAAGCCTGCTTCTCCCTCTCCTACTCCCCTTGTGTTCCCTCTCTTACTGTGTCTCTCTCAAATAAATAAATAAAATCTTAAAAGAAAAAAAGGCAGTTACTCACATTAAATTCATGTGTTCCTAAAAATGTACAGTAAGTTATATGGGCAAAGGTACACATCGCATTTGGGGGCTGGGGTGGGGCGGTAGAGAAGTTATTCCTCAAAAGCAAAAATTCTGGTGCTAAGTATTTTACTTACCAATTTTATTCTTTCAAAAGCAATCAAACATATCAATTTTAATCCAGTGAGCATCCAATTTGCCAAATCTCTTGATTTCCAAACTTAGTTATAATGATGTTTTCCCTTTTCCTAGTACTTTTTACAAACTGATAGCAAAAATGTAATAACCAGCGTGCCTGGGTGGTATAGTCAGTTAAGCGTCTGCCTTCGGCTCAGGTCATGATTCAGGGGTCCTGGGATTGAGCCCCACGTGGGGCTCTCTGCTTCTCTCTCTCCTCTGTGTGTGTTCTCTCTCTCTCTAGCTCTGACTCTCTTTCAAATAAAATCTTTAAAAACAAAAACAAAAAGTGTGACCGCTGAAATTGAACTTCTCCCATCCAAGTACTAACCAGGCCTGACCCTGCTTAGCTTCTGAGATCAGATGAGATCCAGTGCATTCAGGGTGGTATGGCCATAGACTGAAATCAAACTTCTGACTCATAGACAATGCTACCATGAGCTAACTTCAGTTATTTGCCTACTAATATAAAAAACTAATATAAAAAACTTATAAAAAATAATAGGCAATTATGGGGTGCTAATTTGTGAAAACTGAATATATAAAAATGGAGAATTGCCTGAAGTAAACAAAATCAATATAAAATTTTAGAGTCGGAAGGAAATTTAACAGTCGTCTAACCAAACTTAATTCCTGGATAAAAAGAATGAGGTACAAACAGATTGAAACACTTGGCTAAAATCACACTTCTCGTGAGTGCCAGAGCTAGAACTAAGTTGGGTCTAGTATTCCTAGTCAATTATTTTACATTACACAATACTCATAGTTTGGAAATTTTATTATTTGGAAATTTATCTTCAACAGATCTTTGTTAGAATTATAAAACAACCACAAAAACGTTCAAATTCTGTATCTATTCTTCCTTCCTAGCTCATGTTCTGTTGAATAAACAGTTAAACTTTAGAAGGATAAGTGGTTAGGACCAAGGAAATAGACAATTTAATTAAAGTGGATAAAATAAAGATCTGATCATAATGCTTTCCTCTAATTCTGAAATAGGTTGATTTCAACATTAATTCTTAGATATTTTTCACTCACCTTTCAGACTTGCTTATACAAGGTTGTGTGGTAACAGATCTCAAGATGTGGAGTTGATTCAATGACAAAGTTCATTTGAACACTTCCTTCATAGCTACTACTGCAACCATGAAATCAATTTCTCTCACAGGAGGTTTTAGTTTCAGAGAGCTCACATACATAATAATCTCAATCAATGAAAATAATAGGCAGCTTTCTGTTTATTCTTTAGAAGAACTACATCTCAGATGGAAAGTAAATTAGGGAGTGAAGCAAAAGTTAACCCAGGATAAATTTTTTCACTGACAGGAAACATCAGTTCATCATTTCATCAAGAGATCTACATTATAATGTATGGCATATTTAAGACACAAAACTTGACGAGATTTGAGGTGGCCACTTACAATGAGAGCTTAAAGAAAGATACATTAAAAAAAGACACTTTATAAAAGGGATGGGAAAATTAAAATTGCAAGGCTAAATCAAAATGAAAATCTGAAAAGTTAAAGCATATTTGTTTTTATTTAATAGTGATCACATGAATTATAAAGAAGAAAAGGGATATTAGAATAGAGCTTGGGTAAATGTATGCATGCTATGGTTAAGAATAAACATTGTTCTTACATATTATGGTTAGTGAGGACAGTATCAGTATAACAGGGAACTGTGATTATTTAAAAATATGCAGAACTGATTTAATCTGTACTTTAGAAATAACTTGAATATAGTGTTACACGTTGAAAAGAATTCAGAAGAATAACTAATACCAAATATACACTTGTGTATAAGAATTCAGAAAAGGCTGCAATCTGTAAAGTTAATCAGCTGTATTAAAAATGACACAAATCCAAAACAAGATGCATGTTATATAAAAAGGGACACTGTAAGATTTACTTGCTCCGTTAAATCCATGGTTAAATCCACGAAATTTCCTTTTAATGAACATTTAGACAGAAACATGCAAATAGTCTTAGGTTCTACTTAGAGACTTCCCCAAACCCGCTAAGGCTACAATATCCCCCTTTCAGCAGCTAAGCAGGTATTCGGGTAGCTGCTTCCTCCTCTGCATCAGCTCGGTTTGCATTAATTTCTGCGAGTGTTCGGCCGAACCGTGCCCATTCATCATTTCGGGGGACAGCAATCTGCTGTTAAAAGAAAGACAATGTTTTATGTGCGCTGAAATAAAAGATCATCTTACCCAATATTTCAGTTTGTTTTCAAATAATTTTTCCATTAAAAAGTAGTAATTGACATAAATGGTCTTTCCATAATTACAGAGACTATAACAATGCTTTACAATACATTTCAAAACAAAAGATGATGTTTGGGACGTGTGTTGTGACAGCCTCAGAAACGCTTTTGCTGTTACCACCATCAGTAAAAGAGAGAGTAACAGTGACACTCTGCAAATATAACTCCTATGCACTATTTCATGGATTTTGCTGGTGGGGTGGAATTCCTTAAAATTTTTTACTTCTTGCACTATTCCGATACGAAATAGTTTTTGAAGCATGCTTCAAAGGGCTGGTTTCTTATTAGAAATTTATTTTTGTTTGGTGCATAAGATAACCATTTTCAATATCTTAATCCCTTCATCAGAAGGTACATTATGTTTTACCACTTTAGTGACCTACAAATAGCTAAAGGAGAAAAGAGGCTCATGATGTTTTTGCCTCCCTGAAGCATCCAATGACTAAAACTTTTTGATAATTGCTGTCATAATATTGGAGAAATCTCAACACTGCCGAATTAAGGCACAAACCACTCAGTATAGCAAATGAATGTGCCTGCTTCTTAATCTACCATATTAGATTAGATTAGTCATATCCAATATGGTAACTACCAGACACATGTGACTGTTCACACTTAAATTACTTGAAATAAAATTTAAAATTCAGTTCTTTCGTTGTGCTAGCCACATTTTAAGTGTTTGATAGCTCTATGTGGCTAGTGACTACTGGATTAGACAGTGCAGATATAGAGCAATTCCATCTGTGTGGACAGTTCAATTGGCTATTCTAAATGATTCAATCTACCTCCCTCCAGACCCAATTACTAGAGGCCACAGGGAGTCCAGAGGGGATGGGGACTCATAAGCCATAGCAAAAGAAACAGTGACTAAGGCTTCTTTAGCCAGGGCTAAAAAGAAGGAAATCATTCCTGAACATCATGTATAGCCAACCCAAATACTAAAGAAGACACAAAGATGCAACTCATCCTGCTGGATTCAATGATAATGGCTTTCCAACAAGGTTCAGAAGTCAAGATTCACATTTCACACAGTCATCAAATAACTCTCAAAGATACTACTTTTGACTTCTACTTCCTGGCCCAAGCAAATCTAAACATACAGAAAAATAAGAACTTAAATCTGTAAAGTCCCAAATTTCGTAATGCAGAGTCTATAATTCAACTGTAACTCCAAATATCTTCTTTCTGAAAAGTTCCTAATCTCTAGTAATTTATGCTTCAAGAAATAAGGTACTTCCAATATATGATATTATCCTCAAAATCTGTTGTGTGGGGACACAGAACATCCAATTTAGAAAGAAAATAAATCTTAAGAGTTGTTTCTGTTGTGGAAAAAGTTTTATCTTTACAACCATATGGTTTATACAACTCATGAACCTCGAAGACTAGTTTTAGCCACAAAGATACCATAACTACAATGCCCTGAAAGCAAACAGATGTATCAAAATTACAGGCAGTGAGCCCCATACCTCTCCCACATCATAAATGACAATCTGTCCTTCAGAATCACCCACAGCAATCTCTCTTCCAGAATGGGTCCATCTTACACGATTAAGAGCAGGATTACCCTCCACAGAAATGCTGGCAGTTGGCACCTGAAGTCATTTAAAATATAGTGCAGTTAAAAGTTTCATCAAGATTTCTATAAACATGTAAAACAGTAACTCTTCTTTCTTCCAATCGGGCTACATTTTTTAAAACAAAGATGAAAATAGATGAAGAATTTTCCCAACTTTCTTCCTGTTCAGTGATACATTATGAATGACATTACAGACAATCCTTGAAAATGGTTTGGGAAAATAACTTAAGTTCTTATATAAGAAATTCTCACATGACTGGATACACACATCATTTTGAAAGATCTTCTCCTTAATAAAGGATTCTTTGTTGTTATTTTAACTTTTTTAAGAAATCAAGCTGTTTGAAAACATGGACAAAACCCCATTTTAAAGAAACATTTCAAAAGCCCTCATAAACAGATTATGGTTCAATTTTAGAGGACAGAAATTACTTTTGTAGCTTGTGACTCTGTCAGCTGAAACCTGTGATTTGATCCACAGTTCCTAGAAAGAGTTCATACTGAAGGTGCAGTCTGGGTCTTGCCAAAGCTCTTGTTCCCATCAGCTGCCTAGAACAGGGTAGGATGACAGCACCAAGACAATGGCACCCCCCCTCCCCCCCACCCCAGAATCTCCCTGTACTTCTCTTATGCTGAGGAAAAGAGATTTATTTGCCACACCCAGAACAAACAGTCAATGTCTGACTCAGACTGGAAGCACAAAAAAATTTTTGAAACCTGATTAAAAATAATCCTTTTAATTGACATTAGTCATCCCCAGATGACTAATTTAACTCCTAGAATGCCAAAACTGTTAGAGAGAAAAACTGTAATTTAGATATATTTTTTGAGTTAAGGATTATAGGAAAGACCCACATTTAAGTATAACCCCAAATCTCAAACACCAAAATCCAAACTGAAAAAATACAATTGGTACCATTTTAGGTAACTATAAAAGTATAATTAATCCCAACCACCTAGTCAGATACTCTTTCTCCTAGAAGTATCTGAATATTCCTCCTCAAAATACTAAACCAGGAGCTGGCACACTTAACTACTCTTACATTTCTAATATGTAACTTCCTTGGCCTGTATATCCAACTATTTTACTTCAAGTGATTTGGATGGCTGCCACCAGAAATATGAAGAAATATGGGAAAGAGTGGGATGTGGGGGAAGGCACCAAGAGACTTTATCCTCTATAACTGTTTCTGACAGAACTTCTAAAACATTATCTCTTACCACCACATAGAATTCAATTCAGTATAGAATTCAAGGAACATTTAAAATACACATATCTAAAAGTAAGTAATAGCTGTAGTTAAATTTCATTTCCAGGAAGTAATGTTAGCATAGTAATTAGGAAATTTTGTGGTTTCTCTATTCATTTTATAGTAATAACACTCTGTTTTCAAGCCTTCATGGAACAAGTCATCAAAATAAATTTTTCTTTCATTTAAATAAGACAGGCTAAAACTAATGTTTATGGAAGATATACAATTCTGTCAAGGCTAAGAGATAATTTAGAAATTCAGAATTAAGGTTAACATACTTCAACAGTCTGAAATGATCTGCTTTGTAGCCTGCGAGTAAAAAATAACCCCGTTGCCTTATGAATGAGACTTTGCCAGGACACTACAGACATGATAGTGCTTTTCAGAAGTAAAAGGAAATGCCCCAGTGCTCTTGGCAACATTATTTCTCCCTTCAGTACTGCACAGCATGCTGTTTATTATTAAGGGTACAAAGCTTATTTGGTTTCTTTGTGATGAGGCTACAATCACTGAGCCCTTTACATTCCTTGGGATAAAAGGAATTTCACAAATTATTCAATAAATCTCCAATTTTCTATTTTTCAGTGCAATTTTTGTTATTTTCCTGCTCACCTCTGTATCATTATTGAGATTCCACAAATCCAGCCTCCCCATGCCATCCACACAAGCAAACAGGGCTGGGTGGGTGGGTGACCACATAACATCATAAACATAGTCTGAATTATCTTCAAATGAGTACAAAGGCTTGTTATTCTGAAAGGGAAAAGTTGATTCTTAGCATAGTCAAAATACAACATACATTCAATAGGTATATGAATAACATTTTATGATATTTAACTCAGTCTAGAAAAAGTTCCTCTTACTTGTTTCACTACAGAATTACCTGGAGTTATGAACTGAGAATCGACTATTGTATTGCAGTTTAACTTCTAGACACCACACTGTTTTAAAAAAGGAACAGAATATGCTTCAAAAACATTTGCCCATGAGAAGACTCTGGGAGGATGATAGCAATGGCAGTTCACTTTTTGAATTCTTTTAACTCTCCCCATAAACCCAAACAAAGCAATGACGATAGCAAAACCAAAGATTCAAAGACAATATGAACAACAAAATCAGGAGACGAAGCTCCAAATATAATTAGAAAGAAACTGGGGCACCTGGGTGGCTCAGTGGGTTAAAGCCTCTGCCTTCGGCTCAGGTCATGATCCCAGGGTCCTGGGATTGAGCCCCTCATCGGGCTCTCTGCTCGGCAGGGAGCCTGCTTCCTCCTCTCTCTCTGCCTGCCTCTCTGCCTACTTGTGATCTCTCTGTCAAATAAATAAATAAAATTTTTTAAAAAATCATTTAAAAAAATAAGTAGAAACAAACTTCTACCAATAACAAGGCTTCTGTGGTACAAACATTTGTGCAGGAAGAAGTGTGGAAAGGCCTCAGGCTTCTGACAGCCAGAAAGCAGAACAGAAGAGCCTCATAGTTGACAGCAGATACTTACTGGACAGTGTCAGGGAACATGCTGAGTCTGAGAACAGCAGCAGAAACTGGGAGTTCAATGTAATTCTATTTATAAATAAGTGCAAGCAGACTCCAATGTGATATAAGTAAGGTCTAATGGTGCAGTCTGAGTTCTATAAACTCTCAAAATTAACAAACCAAAGCTCCCTTTCAGGACAAAGTCTCACCGAAGAGAAACTGCGAGGAGTAGAATCAGCGTTGTAGAATATAGCACAGTAGGGACAAAGGGAAAGAGAAGGCTCAGATAAAACTGGCGGAGAGAACAGAAAAGGCACATCTCAGAAAGTACAAGACTGAGAGAGGGAAGTATTTACTTTGCAAAAAACACAGAGGAGAAATCTTTAGCCTAAACTACAAAACTAGAAAAGCTATCCTATGCCCATTCCCACCCTCCTAAAAGTAGAGAAAAACTAATTTCATTAGTAGAGAATAAGTGACAAAAAAGGATTTTGGTCAAATCTCACACAAAGTTATTGTGGCAGACCTTCAATAATGCTGTCATGACAGTTAAATGGAAAATGGTAGACAAGATGGATTTGCACATGCACAAGAATGAAGAAGGACCCCTCCTTCCTCATACCAGACACAAAAAGTAACTTAAAATGTACTGGAAGTCCTAGCCAAACAAAGAGAAATAACAGACATCCAAATAGGTAAGGGAGAAGTAAAACTTTCACTATTTGCTGATGACATGATACAGAAAACCCCCCCAAACAGCAAGAAGTGATTAAAAAAAATCAGTAAATTCACAGGATACAAAATTGATGTACAGAAATCTATTGTATTTTTATATATCAACAATGAAGCAGCACAAAGAGAAATTAAGACAATAATCCCATTTATAATTGCACCAAAAATAATAAGATACGTAGGAATAAACTTAACCAAAGAGGTAAACAACCTGTATCCCCGAAACTATAAAACACTGATGAAAGAAACCGAAGATGACACAAAGAAATGGAAAAACATTCCATGCTCATAGATTGGAAGAGCAAATACTGTTAAAAATATCTATAATTAACCAAAGTAACCTACATATTCAATGCAATCCCTATCAAAATATCAACAGCACTTTTCACAGAACTAGAACAGACAATTGTAAAATTTATATGGAACCACAAAAGAGCCCAAATACCCAAAGATATTCTGAGAAAGAAAAGCAAAGCTGGAGATATCACCATTCCAGACTTCAAGTTATATTATAAAGCTACGGTCACCAAAATAGTATGATACTGGCACAAAAATAGACACAGAGATAAATGAAATAACAGAAGACCCAAAATAAACCCACAACTATATGGCCAATTAATCTTCAACAAAGCAGGAAAGAATATCCGATGTGAAAAAGTCTCTTCAACAAATGGCATTAGGAAAACTGGTCAGATACATGCAAAAGAATGAAACTGGACCACTTTCTCATGCCATACACAAAAATAAACTCACAGTGGATTAAAAACCTAAATGTGAGACCTGAAACCATAAATCCTAGAAGAGAACACAGGCACTAACTTCTCTGACGTCAGGTGTAGGAACATTTTTTCTAGGTATGTCTCCTGATGCAAGGGAAACAAAAGTAAAAATAAACTATTGGGACTACATCAAAATAAAAATCTTCCGAACAGTGAAGGAATCAAGCAAACTAAAAGGCAGTCTATGGAATGGAAGACAGTATTTGCAAATGACATATCTGATAAAGGGTTAGTATCCAAAATATATAAAGAACTTATACAACTCAACACCCAAAAAGCAAATAACCCAATTTAAAAATGCAGAAGATATGAATAGACATTTCTCCAAAGATGTACAGATGGCTAACAGACACATGAAAAGATTCTTATCATGACCTATCATTAGGGAAATGCAAATCAAAAGCTACAATGAGGGCCCCCTGGGTGGCTCAGTCAATTAGGCGGTTGACTTCAGCTTGGATTGTGATCTCAGGATCCTGGGACTGGGCCCCACATGGGGCTCCTCACTCAGTGGGGGGTCTGCTTATCCCTCTCCCTGTACCCCTCCCTCTGCCTGTGTTCTGTCCCTCAAATGAATGAATAAAATCTTTTTTTTTTTTTTTTAATTTGACAGAGATCACAAGCAGGCAGAGAGGCAGGCAAAGAGAGAGGGAGAAGCAGGCTCCCCGCTGAGCAGAGAACTGGATGCGGGGCTCGATCCCAGGACCCTGAGATCATGACCCAGGCTGAAGGCAGAGGCTTAACCTGCTGAGCCACCCAGGCGCCCCAAATGAATAAAATCCTAAAACAAAACAAAACTACAAGGAGATATCACCTCAGACCTGTCAGAATGGCTCTTATCAATAACACAAGAAACCAGTGTTGGTGAGGATATGGAGAAAAAGGAACCCTCTTGCACTGTTGGCAGGAATGCAAACTGGCACAGCCACTGTGGAAAATGGTATGAAGGTTCTTCAGAAAGTTAAAAACAGAGGTAACCCTATGACCCAGCAATGGCACTACTGGGTATTACCCAAAGAATACAAAAACACTAATTCAAAGGGATATATGCACCCCTAGGTTTATAGCAGCATATATACAATAGCCAAGATATGGAAGTAGCTCAACAAACACACAACAAAAACATACATGAGTGTTCACAGCAGCATTCACAATAGCCCCAAATGGAAACCACTTAAACAATAACTAATGAATGGATAAACAAAAAGTGGCATATCCATACAATGGGACAGTATTTGTCCAAAAAAGGACTGAAGTACTGATATATGCCACACATGGATGAACCTTGAAAATATTATGTGAAGTGAAAGAAGCCAGTCACATATTGTGATGCCATGAAATGTCTATAACGGGAAGTTCTGCAGAAATAGAAAGTAGGTCATTTCCAGTAGCTGGGTGAAGGGAAAGGAGGAGTGACTGCTAACAGATTTAAGGTACCTTTCCAAAATTTGAAAATGTTCTAAAATTAGACAGTGATGATAGTGCATATCTCTGTGAATCTAAGAACTGTACAATTTAAAAGGGTGAATTTTATAGTATACAAATTACATCTCAATAACAGGGTTTTTTTTTTTAATTTTTTATTTTTTCAGTGTAACAGTATTCATTATTTTTGCACCACACCCAGTGCTCCATGCAATCTGTGCCCTCTCCAATACCCACCACCTGGATCCCCCAACCTCCCATCCCCCGCCCCTTCAAACCCTCAGATTGTTTTTCAGAGTCCATAGTCTCTCATGGTTCACCTCCCCTTCCAATTTCCCTCAACTCCTCAATAACAGGTTTTTAAAAAAAGATTTTATTTATTTATTTGAGAGAGAGAGCAAGAGAAGGAAAATAAGCAGGGGGAGTGGAAGAGGGAGAAGCAAGCCTCCTGCTGAGCAGGGAGCCCAAAGCAGGGCTCGATCCCAGGACCCTGGGATCACGACCTGAGCCGAAGGCAGAGGCTTTAACCCACTGAGCCACCCGCGTGCCCCAATAACAGTTATTTTAAAGAAAAGAGATAAAGTGAATTTCTTAAAAAGCGATAGAAATTAATAAAGACATACCTATAAAGGCAGCCCCTAAAGAAGAAAACCAAAGCAATACTATAGAATACAAAAAATAACTCAAGAGAACTCTCCTAAAATAAAAGACAGCTTGAAACTACATATTTAAGAGTAGCCTGAGCATCTACTACAATCAACCCTTTAAAGAAAAAGAAAAAAATTTGATCAGAAAGGTTTTGTAAGGACAATTAAGGACAACAATGCTTTTTGCCAAAAGATGACAGAGTGATATATGTAAGGTAATCAAAGAAAACAGTGTAAATATGGATTTTATATACAGCCAAACTGACCTCTGTAACCCAATAGGCTCTTGTGAATATGAGAATAATGAATGCATCCACAAACACACTACTATAGTGTGACCAAAAAAACTGAGGAGATGTCGACGTAAGGACAGGCAGATACCAAGTGATTCATGAGGGTAAACTCTTCTTTATGGAATTGTAAACAACCTACAACTATACACAACAGTATGAACAATACAGTAAAAATGCAAAATCCAGACTGTGAGAAACTCTAACAAGACAACCAATCTGGTTTCTTCTTCAACAAGGACGAATCAAGAAGAGAGGGAAGGAAGCCCTATCTTAAGAGAGGGGCTCAAAAGATGTGTTACTTGCAAATATATGGATCTCATTTGGATTGTGCTTCAAAAAATAAACAGTAAAAAAAAAAATTTTTAATTGAAAACTGATTGGCTATTTAATGAAATTAAGAAATC